GATTTTCCTCAAGAGTGTCCAGCCTCTGTTCAGTTACTGAACCCAAAGCTCTTGCCAATTTGGCGGGCTTCCGGTCCAGCAATCTGTGCTGTTCCACCTTCTCGAAATTCTCAGTCTCCAGGGCAGCCTGGACTGCTTCATCCAAAGTTTTTGGACGAGCCCTATTGATGCCCTCCCTAACTGAATGACTGTCAACAGCATCTATGAAGTGGTTCTTAGCCAACCTCTCACGAGCATCTTCCTGCAACTCAGGGTATGCTCTCGCTGTCAATTCGTGAATCGCTTGCCCTAATTCAAGCAAAGTCTCCTTCGGCTTTTGGCGCCGATGTCTCAGTTCGACGAGATAATTTTCACTCTGTCGAGCTGACCCAAACCTGCGCTCCAGCAACTTTACAAGCGCACTATACGTATACTTGTGGCCAGAGTCACCGAATAACCGTAGAGCGTCTCCCTGCAAGCTTGCGGCTAACCACCTCGCAGCCTGCTCCTCGCTCCACATATTCACCTCACGACACGACTCAAAATGGCGGAAGTACTCCTTCCAGAGCACCTTTCCGCTGTACCGATCAGGGGTTATGTTTGGCCTGCGATTTGGTCGCTCCAAACTACCCATCTGACCCACATCACCATGGACCCGTGCCTCTCTTTTCAGTGGCCACGGACCTACCGACGAGATGTCAACTTGAGCTGAACTGTTGTTCTTCGCCTCGACTGGTCGAGTCGTAAAACTTAACAATTCACTCTTCACCTGTTTAGGGGTTACCATCCCCATGTCACCAACGAACAGGTTGGTACTCGCCAAACCCCGTTCCAAGCCACCTTCAGGGATGAACGACATCAGATCATCATTTGGATCATCTGTCTTCCTGGCAACAGGCGTCGACTGCGCTCGGGGGAATATCCCTGAGCTCTGTCCTTTCTGAGGTGTACTTTCCATGAAAGTCACCTCCCTCCCCACTTTAGGGGCTAACTCTGGCACCATATTTGCGCCTGAAACTCTTTCCGTTGCTCCAGAGACATACCCGGAAGTCTCTTCGGGCGACCTGAGCTCAACATCAGAATCAACCCGATGGAGCACACGCCGGCTTCCACCTGGCGCGTCCATGTTTCCTTCCTTTGGGGAAACACCCGACTGCAACTCCATGGCAGCCTTCAACTTCTTTGCAATGAGATCATTTTCCCACTGCAGAAATTGGGCTTCCAAACGCAGTCTTTGCACCTCGGCCTCAGCACTTGAGGTGCCCACTCGACCCTTCGAGCCCTTGCTCATAATTCCAAACAACCACCGAAATCACCACAGAAATAACAACAACTCACAACAATTGTGCAATTCAATTATTCAACAGAGAAATCAACTTAATCATTCACAATCATCCCACTTCTGACACCATTTGTGGCGGGAGCCCCCCCCGGGCCAACCCAAGTCTGTTAGGATAAGTCTGACTCCTAGTGGGGTGAAGACAATCTTCCCAAACCAAGGCTCTTCCCTAGACGAGAGATCACTCAGAGCGACCTTCAAGGCTAAGGGTGCAGGTCCGTTTTGGTGGAAATCTACCGCCCGATTATGAATGAGTGTTGATTATTTATCTCTGTTAATTAATTGCACAATAAACCTGTAAACATAAACACCGGAAGCAGAATTGTCGGTAATCTCAAACAACAATGATCGTAATTTATTCAACAATAATCAAGTACAACAATTAGGATGTGATTCGGTGGGTTGTTTTATTAACAGGGTCCTTAGTTACTGGAGATAGCCCGCTGCTTGCCTATGCAACAACGAACACAGCATTAAGCACTAGACAACAATGGCAGCAATGAGCAACTATGCACAGCGCTAGGAATGAATCACCGAGTCAGCAATACACAGCGTTACAAGCACACAACAGCCGCTTAGCAATGTATACAGTCCGTTAGCAGGGTACTCGCTACGCCGTGTGTGTAAGCCAGAATTCAGCCACACGTACCAGCGCAACCCCAGTACAGCTACACAGACTTTGTACACAAATCGCCTAAGCAATTTCACATAAGCAGGGTACCAGTAATTCACCTACTTCTCTGCCCGCTGTCGCAGCTACACCCGGCACTCAACACTCTAAACAGATGAGCCCCAAAACTATACACTCAACAAGCTATAGTATCTCACCTAACAACGATCTCCACAACTAGCAGCAATCAGTCCCAACAACTAGGCTAAACCATGTACCAATGCGCGTTCTAAACCCAAACTGCTAAACTTCTAAACAGAGCGCGCTCCCCAGGCACGCATTTATATACCAGGTACATGTAGACGCTACGTCATGTCTACAAACCATGTGCGTGTACTAACCCTATGGTGCGCTAAACCTATGGGGAAAATTAGCCAATCACGTACGCGCAGCAGCCCACGGAGCTCGTAAGCTCCGCCCGGTCACTGCACACAAGTGATTAAGCGTTAGTGCTATGGCATGACGTCACAACTAAACACTTTCCGCCACAATATGCAAAGTTAAAGCCAGGTTATGTACTGATTGTAAATTTGAAGGAAGGTAGTTATAATAACAAATATAACTTTGGGAGACACTTTGGCCTCATAATTTATACTTTGGGAGACACGTCAAATTAGGGAGACATTTCAATAATTCCACAGCCCCTACTGAAGAGGCAAAATTTTAGTGTCGTAAATAGACCAGATTGATTGCTCGAGGTCCAATTAGTAAAAATACCGAAATTCCTGGGGGTAGGATAAGGTGAAATTGGGGTTAGGTGTCATTAAAGTCGGAAAAAAATGTGTGCACAAGTCTATGGGAATATCTCCCTAATACCCAGTTATCGGTAATTATTATTATTACTATTATTATCTTTAACAGCATGTATACTATTTTTGGATTCCATCACGTTGATAAGAAATATTTAGATATCTTTTTAGATTAAAAAATATTGCAGCGACATAGCTTTTGATGTCATCACGACATCTTCATTCAGGATAGTGACTTAAAGGGAATATACAACATTTGTAAATATCGAAAAATGTAACTTGCAAGTTTTTTACGAAATACCTAATTAGGATGTTGGTAAATGACAGTCTCAAGCATCTTGTAAAATTATGGCACCTGGTGTGAAGTCATTTTCAAGAAAATGGTATGTTTGTATACATTTCCAATGGTGGTCGGCCGACCAGCTTTGAAAAAACCTAACTATTTTTCAACTTCTGCTCCAAATTTACCATTTTTTCAGTCCAAATTTTGTTTGCTATTGGTTACATGTTCATGAACGGGTGCAGGCCAGCTAGACTGGTTCCCATGCCTTACAATTTTCTATCATCTATAAATTGATCCATGTTATCTTTTGTGGAGTCAGGGAACCAGACTACATGAACATTTTTGTTTTTCTTGGTTTTTCCCACCTTTTCGAACACAAAACTTAAAAAATGTTAATGTAACAATATTTGATCAATTATAATAACCCCTCAAATAGTTCATTTCTGAAAAATACAGCAAAAGCCAATAATGTACATTCCCTTTAAACCGTCGCTGCAATATTTTTGATTCCAAAAAGGTATCTAAATATTTCTTATTCCTATCTTTATTAGTCATTTCTGGTAATGAATACAAGGATTCCTCAAAAGCACCCTAGGCACTGTAGCCCACAAGCCTGACATGCCTGAAGAAACCTGTGAGAGAAGACAATGAGAAGAAGTTACAGTTTTAGAGGTGGGAGGAAAAGCCCAGAAGAATATTCTGGGGAAACCCACGGAATCAGGTAGGGACTGAAAACCCAATCCACATATTGGCCCAGGCGGGATTTGAACCCGAGTCACAGCGGTGGAAGGCGAGGAAAATACTGCTACGCCAACCTGACTACCTAGTATATCATTTTGGCTATCTAAAAAATAAATGACAAAATTCATTGTTGGAAAGCATGCTTGGTTTTATAAAGATAGTAATGACACCAAAACTCCCTGTGAAATTAATCTTTCTGGCATGCTATCATTTTTAAGAAAACACTAAAAGAAGGTCTTTTTGGATATTTATGTTAGTAGTTCGTTTTAATTTGGCAAAGCAGTGAATGGGTGTGCCCATACATGGTGCATGCATGTGCCACTGGTCTCCTGTGGTGGTAATTGCCTTAAAGGGAATGTACATCATTTGCTTTTGCTTCAATTTTCAGAAATAAATGGATTTGGAGGATTAGTATGTTATAGAAAATATTGTTAAACTGACTTGTTTCACGTTTTGGGCTTGTAGATGCTGGAAAAACCAAGAAAACCTATCATGTTCTTGTAGTCTAGTTCCCTGACCCCACTTAAGATGAAACGGAGCAATTAATACAGTGGGGAATTGTAAGGTCAGAGAATCAGTCTAGCAGGCTTGTACCCCTTTACAGGTGTGTAATCAATTGCAAAGAATAGTCAGAATAACTAAATATGGACAATTAAGAACAGTTTTTGAAAAATACACCAGGAGCCACGAGTTTAACTGATGCTTTAGACTGTCAATCCCTTACAATCCAGTGAGGTATTTCGTGATAATTTGATCATTTTGTTTTTTGATGTTTGCAAATGTTGTATTTTCCCTTTAAGGGATTATCCAGATATGAGCTCAGTCAAAGATAAACATCGAAAATCCTGATATAAAAAGGGCCCAGGCTTTTATAAAGGAAAGTCACCTCATAATTTGTATAAACTGAACACGAGCATGTGCATCGTGAGGGGGAGGCACTTGCCCCCCCCCCCCCAAGCAAAAGAGAAAGAAAAACGAAATAAAAGAAAGCAAAAGAGGCGCGAAATCATATTGGTTATCTATTGGGGGGGGGGGGCAAATGTCCCTGCCCACCCTCTAAAAAAATTACCAATCGGGAAAATGCTGGAAAATATAGGGATTGTGGGGAACAAATGGGCTTTGCCCCTCTCTAGAAAAACTCCTGGTGACATCCATGAACACGTGGCCGATGAATACAACATATATTTATAACTCATACTTGGAGGGCATCAACTTGGAGTGTCATTGCTATTTGAACAGATGACAGGGCACCAGAGGTGGTCTTCTGCCCGCCAGATGTCAGTGTCACTGCCAGTACTAGGATCACGCAAGTCTCCTGGGACGAGCCTGTATTCCGCGATCCTTCCGGAGGCGAGTTGGTGATCAGCAGTAACACGGGACCGGGCAACCGAGCAAACTTCACGGTGGGGACGCACTTCGTGATGTACACGGCGCGGGACCCTGACAATGGAAAGACTGCAATTTGTGAATTCACGGTGATGGTGCAGCGTGAGTATACCGAAGAAATAAGCAGACTTAATTTCCAAAATGCGATATATTCATTTAAAAAACAACAAAACAAATTGTTTATGAAACTTTAAAGAATGTAAAAAAAGAATAGTTTAGTTTTCATGTTTCATTCCACAAAAAGAAAAATACCCCATTACCCTGGGGAGGGTTGCATCAAAAGGTTTAAATGATACCAACAAGTATAAATCATGACATAGGAGTAGGCTAAGAGCATTATTCATTTTAAACCAATAAGATTAAATTATTATAACGTTGTAATAGAAAACAGAAAAATGTACTTGGCTAAACAAAGCATAGCCTAATCGTTTTATCCTTTTATTATTTCATCCTCAGATAATTTTATCCTCTTTTTACTTTATTGTATTTTTTAAAATTGATTTTAAATCTTTTCCGTTGAAACCTGACTTTGCTAGTCAGGAGAGAGTGTGATCCTTAAAGGTAACTAAATTGGCATTTATAGCGTTTCGGAAATAACTTTTGGGTACAGAGCATGGGCGTCGAAATTAAAATCTCTCAGTGTTAATCTGATACCCAAAACATAAAATTCCACCAATCCTTTTTTTTTTTAAAGGCAAATGTTTTAGGGTCGCATTTTGTTTTGGGTCACGTACCTACATATTGCACCTTGACTTCGCCTTGGGTGCTATGCGCGCGCTTCTCTGTGTTTAAAATACCATTTCCATAATCACAGCAGTCAACAATTGTGGTGAGAAACGAACCACTGAAAATGGAAATATTTTCCTTTGCTTTTTTCTTTGGAACAGAGACACCATGCCATGTTTTGGACCCCCCTGCAAACGGGGCGCTTGCCTGCGACCTTTGGGTCCAGGGTACGCTCTGCAGCATCCACTGCAATGAGATGTACGATATTCCAAGGCTTATGGGCAGTCTGGTACCAGAAAGGCTGTACAGGTGTGGCTATTCCGGGACCTGGTTTCCTCACGATAATGTTCCAGATTGTTCAGGTATGTCAGGGACGTCAGCAAATCATTGCTGAAATAAAGACAGGGTTTTTTGTCCGTTCGCTTGGCCTCCTTAAAGTCAATAGGTTAATTGACACTTGGCCCCTGTAAAATCAATAGGTTGACACTTGGCCTCCGTAAATTCAATCGGTTGACACTTGGCCTCCATAATATCAATCGGTTGACACTTGGCCTCCATAAAATCAATAGGTTGACACTTGGGGTGCTGTGGTCCAATGGTTACGGTGTTTGACTTGTGTGCCGTGGTGCATGGGTTCGAATCCTGACCATGGGAACATGGTGCTTGTGCTCTTGATCAAGGCACTTTATTGATCATCGTTGCTTCGTCCTTCGGATGGGACGTAAAGCCGTAGGTCCTGTGTGTTGTGTAATGCACGTAAAAGAACCTAGTAACACTTATCGCTAATAGAAGGGGTTTGCACCCGTGTTTCTGGCAGTGGCTGCAATATGCACCACAGCACCTTGTAAACTATTATAAGGTGCTACATAACGGGTCTCATATTTCTCATTAACTTTATTTACCTTTCTTTAATAATAGACATATTGTCCAGCGCCTTGAGTACCTAATTGTTGGTAGATGTGTGCGCTATATAAGACTCCGGTATTTTTATTACTTAATTGCCTCCATAAAATCAATAGATTGACTCTTGGCCTCCGTAAAATCAATAGGTTGACAATTGGCCTCTGTAAAATCCTGTTATTTAACCAGTAAATTAATTATAGTGTTTTTTGTTTTGGTTCCTTAGAGACAAGAGATCCAAATAATTCCCGACTTCCGGTAGATTTGATGTATTTCTCTGGAGATTGCAGCGATGCATCGACCAGGGAAAGAATTGCTGCCGCTTTCATCATGCTTCTGCAGAACTCTCCGGACATCAGCTGCTCCCCGATAGACCAGTGCACTGTGGGGAATGTTCTGGTCCTCTGCGGCTCGAGCACCGGCAGACGTCGAAGAGCTCTGGAAGATCTGCCCAGCCAAGCAGGGCGGGACGTGAAACTAGAAGAGGGAAAATACACAGAGGACGAAATCAGGTCGTCGCAATTCAGACAGCGCAGAACTGCCTTAAACTGGCAGGTCTCCATCAGCTTTGATATCAGAGTGCCAGTCCCGCATTTGCCGGCGGGGGGCAGTATCTACGACGTCGTACTCGGCATCGAGCGTGTCATGATGGCAGCGGCCGACGCTTGGATGGCAAAAATGGGCAACGGAAGCATCCCACCGCTTGAGGTGGAAGGCCTAGACATGGCCCTCGACGAGGACTCAATGAGATATGGATATGCGGTAATCGATTGCGAGCCAGGATACATTGCCAACAATAATGACTTTGTCTGCAGTAAGTATCCCCTGTCAAAAAACTAACGAACGCTGATAAAATATGTGAGGCGTTTTGGCCAACTGAGAACAGAGGTCAAAATTAGGGTTTTCATTAGAAAAGAGTATAAAATTCTCCTTACAATAATTTGTTACACTTCAATTAGGTATTGCATTTACAATGGCTTTTAATAAAAAAAATATTAGAAAAGGCCTTAAAGTATCAAGTTTTGTATTTGTGAAAAGTACAGATGCCAATTTGATGTTCCTTAAAAAGAAAATTATTCCCAAATTTTTATTTCAAATATGTGTATTAGATGTAACGTTTTTCACTTCTTTTCCAAATTAATATATCACATTTTGAAAATATAGTTTTCAGTTCTTAATTTTGAAACACTTCCTCAAATCTGTTCAATCATTTTTCCCGCAGCTGCATGTACTACAGGTTTCATGTTCAATAACTCAACCGGGGAGTGCCAGTTCTGTCCCAGAGGGTTCTACCAGGACCAGCAGGCACAGTTCTTCTGTATTCCTTGCCCCCCTGGAACTTCAACAGCGAAGGAAGGTGCCAATAATGCAACTTTGTGCCAAGGTATATTGTGGTGACCATTTTCATGTTGCATCTTATTCTCAAGTTATACAGGCTGAGAAAAGAACCCGAAACCAAAATGGCAGGACCAATTTTTGAATGAAGTTTTGCCTGTAGCACTTTCAAAATCTAGGATATGAAAGCCCAGTCATTAAGCTTTCTTTTAGCACAAGAATTATTCAAATCACTCAAGTACTTTTCAAGTTATGGAATTTTGAACACAAACATCAATTTAAAGTTCTGTGCACGGATCACAAAAACTAAGTGTTCTTTCAGCAAAACAAAAACAATTCTCACAGGGATGCATGTGGCTTGTTTTCATGGACGGAACTTTAAATGGTGTTTGTGTTCAAAATTACATAACTTGTAAAGTACATGAGTGATCTGCATGATTCTTGTACTAAATGAAAGCTCATTGATTGGGCTTTCATATCCGAGATTTTGAAAGTGCGAAAGGCAAAACTTCATTCAAAAATTAGTCCTGTCATTTAGGTTTCATTGTTTTTACTCACCCTGTATCCTATTTTTTTCATACAAATCTTAGGCCAAAAAATGTGTTATGTAGTGCACGTTAAAGAACCCAGTAACATTTATCGCCAAGAGAAGGGGTTTGCCCCAGTGTTTCTGGCAGTGGCTGCAATATATGCGCCGCATCACCTTGTTTACCTGTATAACGGTGCTACATAATGGGTCTCATATTTCTTATAACTTCATTTACCAGTCTTTAAAAATAGACATAACTTCCAGCGCCTTGAGTACCTAATTGTTGGTAGATACGTGCGCTATATAAGATTCTGATATTACTGTTGTAATTAATATTATTAATATTAATGTCTGTTGTAAACAGAGGAATGCGTGGCAGGCAGTTATTCTGACAGCGGCATCATCCCTTGTTCCAGATGCATGATGGGAGGATACCAGCCACGCCCAGGTCAAATGTCATGCCCAGTGTGTCCAGAGGGAACGACAACGTCAGACTTCGGTGCCCAGTCTCAGGACCAGTGTTTGGGTAAACAGCCATTCTTTAAGGTTGTAAATAGTCATACCAGTGGCGTAGCCCCCCCCCCCATGAAACCTTGTCGCCCCCCAGTCGGCCCCCCCACTGAGATTTTGAGTTTCTAAACAAATATCATTGATCTACATGACACCCCTTATGAAATGTTCCAGACCCCCCAGCGCCCCCCCCCCCCCCCCCCCCCACTGAAAAATAATGCTGTTTTTATCCTCATTCCAGATGTTCAAATTTTAAAAAATCTTGCGTAGCTACGGTAGGACAAGTTTCGTGAAAGCGATCGTAAGTTTATTGCGCAGCTGCGCAAGAAATTTGTTGCGTAACAATTGTGCTGTGTAACAGTTTTGTTGCGTAAGTCTTCCACATTTTCGTAAAATTGGCTGTAGGTATATTAATGTTTTAGACTATGACCTATCGATCTAGCCTATTATAAATAGGAGTTGTGACATCAGGGACACATTGAAATCCTTAAGGGTACATTTACATTGATCGATCTCAGTCCCTGTTTTTTTTTTTTTTTCCAGAAATGTGCCCACCAGGCAGTGTGTCGGCTACTGGTCTGGCTCCGTGCCAACCCTGTGAGCATCGAAGCTATCAACCCCTGAGCCAGCAGCAACACTGCATAGTGTGCCCAGGCAATAGCACAACACTTGGTACCGGATCCACTATGCGGGACCAGTGTATAGGTAGTAATTTTGTCGCAAGCTTTGGCTGCAGGAAGTTTTAAAGCTATAGTCCATCATTTGCAGCTATCTGAAAAGTAACTGGCATAATTATTGTTGAAAAACATACTTGGTTGAAAGATAGTAAGGGGACTAAACTCCCTGTGAAATTATTCTTTCTGGCAAGCTGTCATTTTGAAGAAATCGACGAAAGAAGGCCTTTCCAATGGTGCTTCTTAAGATGCACCGTAGGAAATTTGTATTAGTAGTTCGTTTTGTTATTCAGGGAAGCCCGTGCAAGCATTGGCATGATGCCACGCATGCGCAGTTGCTATAATTTGTCGGATCAGTCCGCGACATCGCGTAGCTGCAATCGGTTCAGTGAGAACGTGTCTCGGGCGCTGAATTCAGGCCCAATTCAAAACATGATTCAGCAACTTTTGATTTGAAAACGAGATTCTAGAATGTTGTTTGTCTCGAAATATACAGCTACTAAACTGAGCTGAAACTTCATCATGATTGACTATACCTTTAAGCCCCCTCCGACTTATAATTAAATGTTGTGTTTCGGGTCCATCATCAAGACTTTTTTTGGTGGATCAAGGCATTCCACATTAGTGTCCAATGGTCGATGGCCGGCCACTAACCTTAGTCACTGAGTCTTTGTCCTCTACACACGTTGCTATGCTGTGTGCTTCCTTTTATTTATACACTATAGTGATTTTGGCGCAAGGTTCAACGGCACAATGGCATGAAACAAGCCAAATGTGCATCAGTATCAGATTATTTATTTTTCTAAGACTGGCTTTTTTAAAAGCATTGAAATCAGCGGATTCACGAAGAAGTTGCATGCTGTATTTCATTCATTTTTGACTCACCAAGCAGACTTTTTAAAATGGTTTTGACTGTTTTTTTATAACTTGCATTTGGTTAGTGAGCTACCACTAAGGTCAAACTTTGGGATTATTCATTGCCCATGATTTTTCATTGCTCATGATTATTCATTGCTATTTCGACCAACCATCTCCCACGGTCCATGTTTGCCGTAGATGTAAATGAGTGCGCCAGCTCCCCATGTGATCACCAGGCTACCTGCGTGGACTTGATCGACGGCTACCGCTGTGACTGTCCGCCAGGCTACGAGGGTGTACACTGCCAAAACAACATTGACGACTGCCTAGACCATCAATGTACCCACAATGCAACATGCTTGGATGGCTTGATGGGATACATGTGCATTTGTGACCCAGCATTCCAAGGTATGAGTGTTATGAAGAATCCCCAAGCAAGTTGAGATATCCCGTGAGCGTGAGTGGAACACGGAATTATGCAGTGCGTCCGTGTCCCACATGCCACAAGGCCAAATGTTGGATGCACACGCACTATATTTTCGGTGTTCCACAAGCGTGAGCGGAATAACAAATATTTCAGGTTGAAAATGGCATATCTCACATCACGGCAGTCAACAATAGTTTTATTATATTGTGCCAATATCTGGAAAAGATTAATGGGTGATTTTTGTGACTGAATGATTTCAGTAACTATTTCCATAAATGGTTAGAAGGTCCTAACATGAAAAAAACACACACAAAACAAAAGCAACCAAGCCCATTCCGGCAAGCTCAGCGGTTGAGTCAAGACGTAGCGTAGGAGGTAGTGGGTTCGAGTCCCACCTGAGTAGTTTGTGAATTTTTTTCTCAAATGCAACTCCAACATCACTTAGTATGCAGTGCTTTTAAAATATGTCAGTGAAGGGCAAACCCAAGGCAATATTGAATAGACATATATGCAGTCCATTTCGTAATTTAAAGTTCTTATAATATAAACTACAAACTGGACGCTGCATCCAATGGCATTGGCCCTAGGAATCGTGCGAAAATGTTCAATTAAACAGTGTCCAAAAAAGCATAAAAAACATTGTATACAGCTGATAATTAAACTATTCAAAAGATGGAATTTGTGTTGGGGTGGTATACATCAATATTTGGTTAGTTTGCCCTTCACCGATGTATAAACACTGTATACTTAACAATTGTTTTGTTATACCTCTGTCTTGGATTCTTTGGATTTTCGGATGCAAAAATCACGAAAACAAACAGCAGTCAACACAAGAAGCATGACAACGGAATGTCACATGCATGTGCGTTTACTACTCCCACTAATGTGTGAAAACATGGTGAAAATAGTGTGGGTACCACCGTACCAACGAAAGAAGCGTTTCACACCATACATACTGTACGTACAAAGACATAGCACATATCCGATAGGGAGTGTGCCATGACTTTTTATAAACTTAACACGGGATCGTTCTAGGCCAATGAAAATACAGTATTCAAGACGGAGGTAAAACAATTAGTTATCCCTAGTAAAAGTGAAAAAAATCACGCGGGTGGGACTCGAACCGACGCTCTCCTGATAAATAAACAAAAATTTGTGGCCGCAAAATCACAGAAATTTAGAAACACTCCTGTTTCCTTTCCCTGCAGGCACTTACTGTCAGGTGAACGTTGACGAGTGTGTCTCGGCGCCATGCCAGAATAACGGAGTGTGCCATGACGGAATCGGGGAGTATCGCTGCGAGTGTCTGTCAAGCTATCACGGGGTCAACTGTGAACAGTTAAAGACAAGGTAAGAATCACTGATGGCATTGGTCCATTTACCACAGTGTCCAAGTGTGAACAGAAAAAGATGAGGTAAGAATCACTGATGACTTTGGTCAAATTACCGCAGGTTCCAGTATGACGAGGAAAAGAGTAGGTGAGAATTACTCTTGACCTCAGTCAAATTACCACAGTGTCCAGTGTGAACAGAAAAGATGAGGTAAGAATCACTGATGACCTTGGTCAAATTAGCACAGGTTTCAGTAAGATAGGAGGTAAGAATCACTGTTGACCTCAGTCAAATTACCACAGTGTCCAGTGTGAAAAGAAAAGATGATGTATTAAATCACTGATGACCTTGGTCAAATTAGCACAGGTTTTAGTAAGATAGGAGGTAAGAATCACTGTTGACCTCAGTCAAATTACCACAGTGTCCAGTGTGAACAGAAAAGATGATGTATTAAATCACTGATGACCTTGGTCAAATTAGCACAGGTTTCAGTAAGATAGGAGGTAAGAATCACTGTTGACCTCCGACAAATTACCACAGTGTCCAGTGTCAGCAGGAAAAGAGGACTCAATAAGCATCACATATGACCTGGCTAAATTACTACAGGGTACAATGTGAAAAGAAAAATGCAAGGTGAGAATCACTGATGCCCTCGGTCAAATCAATACTGGGTCCTGTGCGAACGGGAAAAGAGGAGGTAACAATTACAGGACCTCGGTCAAATTATCATGGGGTCTGTGTGACAAAAAAAGGCGAGGTAAGGATCATAGATGACTTTGGTAATACACTCAACCAAAAAAAGAAAGTCCTCCCCCCTTAATACTTTTTTGTCTAACTCAAAAACTACTGGGCACATCTTGCTCAAGTTACGACTGATCAGTACAGAAATTCCTTAGCAATCCAGCCATACTCTTTGTTTGGCCGAAAAGAGTAATAATGTGTAAAAAATGATGCAATTTATGACAAGTGGTACCGAAAGAAAAATTGCACTTTTGAACACTTGCAAGGTGAGTGTGAACCGCAACATGCACACATACAAAAGTGCAACTGTTTTCGGTATCGTTTGTCATAAATTGCATATATTCGTACACATTATCACCGTTTAGGGCCAAATAAAGAGTATGGCTGGATTGCTAAGGAATTTCTGCACTGGTCAGTCATAATTTGAGCAAAATGTGCCCAGTAGTTTTTGAGTTTAGACAAAAAATATTGGAAGGGGGGACTTTCTTTTTTGGATGAGTGTATTACCACAGTATCCATGTGTGAAAAAGAAATTTTTTAAACTGATGACGTCACCTGGCAAAGCTACTTCGAGATTCAATGTGAGTAACGGCCGGTTGATGTGTGCAAAACACTTTCACCCTTTTTGCTCCGCTGTTCCAGAGTTGTACTGAACCAAAATGTACATAGAGCAACTCAAGTCAATCTAAAAGGAATTTGTTTTCAGACTGGACAACTTTATGCATACATTTTCCAGTCATATCAAATAACTGCAACAGATGATCTAACATGTGTATATACCTTATCATTGTTTAAAATGTCACGCTTAAAGGCACGCATATTTTATTTATTCATTTTCAATAATAACACAACTCGGAATCAAAGAAGCATGTCAAAAACCACACCTGTTCAAGCTTCAGCTCAGTGGATATTACACTTTTGGAGAAAACTGCGAAAACACATCTTCATTTTTCTTGAAGCAAGCATACATTTCTGTTGAGAGCGCGATGGCAAGGTCCTATAGGAAATGAATGATACTTCTGCTTTTCTTGAAAACGGCAAAAAGATTTCATGTTAAGGATTTCAGCAGGTTAATTTTATAATTTTTGTAAATGTTTCTATATGCCTTGAATTCTTATCTTAGGAATAATTTATTTCAACGTAGTTTGAAACAGGTGTGAGGATATATCTTTCACAAGGTTGAGGTTGCTCCATATAATCATTTTGAAATGGGAGATATTAAACCCATCATTTCTTGTTTTGTTTGTTGTTTTGCTTTGACAGTTGTTCTCCAAGCCCCTGCCAGAATGGCGCTGCATGCATGGTCGTTGGGGCCGGGTACCAGTGTATGTGTAGCCCAGGTTATATCGGCATTGACTGTGAAGTGGACACCAATGAATGCCTCAGCAATCCTTGCTGGAACGGCGCAACGTGCACGGACAGGCCCAACGCGTACCGCTGCACATGCTTGACTGGCTTCACAGGTTCCCGTTGCGAGGGCGATATCGACTGGTGTGCCTCGTCGCCGTGCCATGACGGCGCGACGTGCGTGGACGTGGTGGAAACTTTCCGCTGCGTGTGCCCGCCACTGCGCTCAGGCCCTCTGTGTGACCAGACTCCTTGTCAGAATGGCGCCCTCTACCTCCCAGGGGATGATGGTAGGGCAGACGCATACACCTGTACTTGTCAGCCGGGGTACCTGGGTCGGGACTGCGAAATAGATATTGATGAGTGCGCGTCAGAACCGTGCTCTAATGGAGGAACGTGCCGTCAGCATCAGATCAATGCGTTCATGTGTGAATGCCCGCCGGGTTTTCAAGGTAAGTTGTGGAATCTCGTTTGTACAGCCAACAGTTACATCTATTGTATATTGGACTCCATTTAAGAACAGTAATGATAATAGTTATGGATATTTGCGCACATATATAACGGTATTGGTGCTCAAGGCACTACATAATAACCTGTGCTCATTTTGGCCCATACAAATATTTCAAAGACCATCTCGGCTCCTGGCGTACAGCTCGATGCCATAGCAGTACAGAGCAACTATAATCCAATCTATCACAATTTAGCGCGCTGTGTACACCAGCCACTCACAAGAGCTGCAGTACCCGTGTCAAACCCCAGTGTGTAGGACACGATACATGTGCTTACCCTGGTTCTAACACCTATACAGCGTGTGTCAATAAAAACGCAGGATTCAAAGCGATTTTTTTCTGAGAAAATTATGCTACTGGTGTGCCTAATTTGATAAGGATTTGATTGTCCATAATTTCATCTTTAACAAGATTTTTGTTTGGTGGAATTTGGACTTTTGGTTCAAAAGTTATGACAAGTTTTGTGAAGCCCTTCTGAAGCGGGTTGGTCTGATTCAATGACCTTAACACAACGACCAGTTATGTACAATGCAGGTATGCATTGAAGACAATTAAACCAGAACAAAACTTTCTTTGAAACAACTGATGATAAGTATCACTTAAATTTAATAACTGGACTATCATTGTTTCAAAGCATCATGAATGTCGTCTCTGACATATCAAATGACATTGATTGTGGACTAAAGGATTATGTAAGCCTAATCCTGCCACACATGTCCTTCTTTGTGATCCACAAATACTTTCACCTGTACTGAATTCAAACCTTTCATTAGGTATGTGTGATTTCACAAATCAGACCAGCTTGGAATTTATAACCCTTCTTCAATGTACTCTATCTCTGGACAGGATTGTCCAAATGAGATGGGATAAAAAGCATAGTGAAGAGAAGGAAAGGTACTTTGAAAAGAGGGTTAACATTATGATGAATAGGGGTGGTTTATATTCTTAATATTTTTGTTTCTAATCCTGCGTTTTTATTGACACACGCTGTATATGCATGCAAAGAGAAATTCACGACTCATTTTCTTGTAAAATTTCAGCCATAACATTTAACATCTTGGTGTAGTGGAGGGCTCATGGCATGTTCTTTTTCATAATTTAGGCGATACTCTAATTGAAACTAGATCTTAGTATATAACCCAATAGCACTGTGCCTAGGGCCTAAAGAAATTGGGGGGGCCCAGGGCCATACCAAAACACCACAATGTGCCATATAAAACACACGTTACCAAACCCCCACACCAGAAAAGTTTTAAAAAGTTTTAGCATCTTTCTCTGAATTTTTTATTTCACCGACTGACGCTGATGTATCATGTACAAGTACGTAGAAGTTACGTGTATAAACAGTTTGTTGTTCTGAAGCATTAAACATTACGGTAGTTGTCAACATTTATTGTGCTTTTTTTTCTGCATGTTTGGAAACTTTGACCTTTTGTTTACAAACTCAGTTGCCCATATTTTCCCCCACAATTTCAGGGGAATCATGCAATGATGACATCAACGAGTGTACGTCTGATCCTTGTGGAGCTGGTAGCACCTGCCAAGATGATATCAATGGATACACCTGCCTCTGTGGGCCAGGACTCACTGGTACCCATTGCCAGGATCCTATCGACTACTGTGAACCATCAGCTTGCCGTAATGGGGCCACTTGCCTTAATACAGCTGGAACATACCAGTGTGTATGTGTTGCAGGATTCACAGGTAATGTATTAATTGTCTGGTCCAGCGGTGTAGCCATGAAAAGCGTGGGGGCGCACAACACCCACCTCTGCCCCCCAACAGAAATTGTCGTCCCTCTAGTCGCCACCCACTGGAAGTTTGTTAGTGAACTGGTTAAAGCTATAGTCCATCATTTGTAATTTGTGCATTTTGTTTGTTTGAAGCAACAAAAGGGTTCAAAATCTAATGAAGGATACTGAACAACTAACCTGATGAAGTTTCAGCTAAGCTTCAGCTGTACATTCCGAGAAAAACAGCATTCTAAGATCTCAATTTCAAATCAAAAGTTACTGAATCATGTTTTGAATTGTTTTGAATTGCAGCTATACGCGACGTAGCGCACTGATCCGACGAATTATAACAACCGCGCGCGCGTGTGCGTCGTTCCAATACTTGTGCGCGCTGCGCTGAATAACAAAACGAACTACTAATTTAAATTTTCCTACGGTGCTTCTTAAGAATCACCATTGGAAATGCCTTCTTTCGTTGATTACTTCAAAATGACAGCTTCCCAGAAGGAATAATTTCACAGGGAGTTTAGTTCCCTTACTATCTTTCAACCAAGTTTGTTTTTCAACAATAATTACGCCAGTTACTTTTCAGATGGCTGCAAATGATGGACTATAGCTTTAACACGTTTATAACAGAAATTCCCCCACCGGAACATCCAGCTCCCTCCCCCATTCAACCCCCCTGTGGCGAGAACCCTTGCTGCACCGCTGGTTAGGTCTAGCTTGTCAGTCAAACAGGAGGCATTGACCATTTAGATCCCACCTTTTGGTAAGGTGACTATATGGTTAAACTTGTCCAAATTCACTAACGAGCACTGTGAGAATACTCTAAGTAGACCAATCTGTTAAAGCCCCGCCCTTTGGTGTTTGGCCAATCATAGCCGTGTGAACAAATTACATACTGGAGATCTGCAAATTGTACAACTTTTATTCCAGTGGTTACAGGTTCCATTCCCCTCTGGTCAAGAGACCGATCCATTAAGCCCCGCCCACTGTACACACGGGCAATCGAATCAACATGTGCAAATTCTGCAATGACACACCACATGTTCCAGCTGTGCATGTCATACGCCTGTGCAGACTCTCTTGGTTTACTATATTCCCGAGGACAATGCTTTGTGTTTCTCTTTGTCCCTGTAATATAGCACTCTCGATCTCATAGACTATAAGCACACATACCTACTACAGAGGACCGTTTTTGAACAAAAGACCCAACTCCCGAGGATTGAAAGGATCTGTTGTTCTCCCTTTGTGTGTCGGTCCTCAGGGGTTATGTAGAACACACACACATACAAGCATAGGTTCACTGTCGATCGTGGACATCCTATTGTCCCTCTTTTGTTTGTGCTTTAACATCTTAGGAAGACTCCTATTGGTTTTGTGCACAACCCCAATCGCGGATGTATGCTGGGAATCGTGGATGATATTGTTCTCTTTTGTTCTCTGGAATTTTTCGTCCACGGTTTGAAAAGATGAACACGGACACCTGTCCGACTGTTCGTGCACGCATGTCAAACATTGAAGTCGTGGATGTGATTGGACAAAGCGCTATTTGGATGGATCTATTTTGTCTTTGATTATAGGTACGGATTGTCAGCTGGACATAAACGACTGCCTGTCAGAGCCCTGCATGCACAACGGTGTCTGTGTGGATCACGTCAATGGCTTCACGTGTACTTGCCAGCCAGGATTTGTGGGCATGCAGTGTGAAGCCTGCAGCAATGAGTAATTAAACCATGATTTTATTATTTGTTGGGATGTGAGCACAAGTGACAAAGCGAGAGCTGGGGTACTAGACCACTGGCAGAGACCATCACTGGACCGAGCCCAGTCTAATGTGGCCTTCTTAGATGTAGGTAGCTCTCCGGCACTTAACTGGTTCGTCACTCGTCACTCAAATTCTGATTGGAGGCAGGTGGATCTGGACAGCGACGCATACATTGGGGATAGCCTGATGACTGTATGATCATGGAGCTATAAAAAAGGCTCCGTGGTATGATCAAGGACAAACCATGCACTACCACCGTATGTGCGAGCATATTTATGGTCGTTAACTGATTAAGAAGACTAGAGCAGGCTAGTCGAAATGTTGAGACCAAAGACAAGTTCTTTTAGAACTTAAAGCAGGACAAGTTCCTTTCAGAACTAAATATCTTCTAAGCAGAAGTTATAACCACATGGTGTTACTGCAACTGAAACGATACTGATTAAGAAGCCATTATCTCAGCAGGGTGCTCATGAATGCAAACCCGGGAATCCTTGGTTTGCGAAAGCCACATTAGACTGGGCTCGGTCCAGTAATGATTTGATCAAACGCATTGCCACATCACGCCTGACACTCATGTAAAGACATTCTATAGATTAGTGCACCTCCGTGTAAAATTGTGCGTGATATACGCATGCGAAGCGATACATGAGCCTAATGAATGAGCATCAGGTGCCGACGGTAATTCGTGTTTGAATATGGCTCTCCCAGTGTTTTTTTTTCTCCAATTTGCAACTGTTGAGGGGGTACACTGATTCCATTGCGAGATATTTGTTAATACAACATTAAGTTTTTTCCTCGCTGTTCCTTGACTTTTTTTGTCATTGCTTCGTATACATGCCTTTAAAAAAAAAAAAAATTATCATTTAACTTGTCATGTGCCATGAGTTCAACTCATGATCTGAACGATGTATGAAGACAAGTTGCTCCAGAGTTGTTTCAACTGACCGCAATAGTCAATCTTTTGGTGTTGCATGTAGTTGCTCGTAATTGTTTCAAACCTCAAATTGTTCACGTACTTAATTTAAATCTCATCAACAAGTTTAAAACAATTTTAGAATTCCATTCTGCAATGGGCAGAATTCATAAAAAATTTGCATTTTGTTACTTTCTAGTACTTCAACAAGATGACGAGAGGAAGACGTCTTTGATGGACCTGTCTAAATGTGGCATTGTCGCTCGCAACAGATGTCTGCCAAATACCACTATTACTACTATGTTCTATTTTATTCTAGTATACAAATAAAACTTGGGTTTAAGGTATATAGTTGAAAACACCCTGAGGTATAGGAAAATGACAAACTATGACTCCCGAAGCAACCAAAACGTAGTTTGAGGTTTGCTAGTCGAGTAGTATTTTGTTTATATTCATCTATTTTTTTGGAAATTCATGTTGTTGTTTTTTATTTCATTCTATAGTTCCTGCCATAATGGTGGCACTTGCATTGTTGGCATTGGCGGTGAGTTCTCTTGCGTCTGTCGGAATGACTTCAATGGTGCCCAGTGTGAAGTACCAATCAGCTACTGCCTCAGTAGTCCCTGCCAGAACGGGGGTTTCTGTGTTGACACTTCTTGGGGTCTCCGCTGCCTGTGCTTGCAGGGATACGGCGGACCAAACTGCGAAAACGATCTCGACGAGTGCGCCTCGTTCCCATGCGTTCACGCCACGCAGTGCGTAGATGGCGTCAACCGCTACACGTGCACCTGCGAGGGCGGCTACAGTGGCGTCAACTGCGAGTTGAATATTGACGAGTGTGCAAGCCAGCCGTGCTACAACGGAGCAACTTGCCTAGATCTTGTACACGACTATACCTGCCTGTGCGTCCAGGGGTACACAGGCCAAGGCTGTGAGATCAACATCAACGAATGTGACGAAAGTCCCTGTTTTAACGGCTTATGCCTTGATGGCATCAACAGTTTCTTGTGCGTTTGTTTTCCAGGCTCAACAGGTAAGAATTTTATTTTATTCACCCAGACTCGAACCAGCCAACCAACTCCGGCAAGATCAGTGGTTGAGTGGTATAACATCTGCACTAGTGGGTGAGACTCGAGAGGTCGTGGGTTCGAGTCCAACCCAAATAGTTTGTGAATACTTAGCTCAACACTGAGTATAAACAGTGTTTGAAAAATATTTAGGTGAAAAAGGATCAAACCCATAATTGAGGTTTGAGGTTACCAAGCAGGCTATAGCGAGTCAATTTTTTTCACAGCACTATAATAATAATAATAATAATTATAATAACAACAGTCAGGTTCTTAGGCCAAAAAAAATAAGTCTCCTGTTTCTGGTATGGAGCTTGCCCCAAAAGTGGTGCGGCAACACGGCTTTTTTTTTTTTACCTGAATTTTTTTGCTTCAAATGTCGGCTGATGACTGCAAATGGTGCCCGACTAAACTTAGTGCAAATATATGGGAGTCCAGAGAGGCCACATAAAGCTTATTCTCGATCATAACCCCCTCTAAAAACACGTTAAAATTGTGCAGCAGCAGGATTCCAGTCAAACCAGTGAGTTATGCGGTTTTGAGACATCATCTTTCATTAAAAAAAAAAAATCATTTTGCTGACGCGCATGGCTACGGCGACGCGCGCGCATACCAGAAATCAGAGACTTTTTTTTTTGGCCTTATGTAGCGCTTTTAACTAAGATCAAAGCGATTTACATTATTATTACCTCTGACCATTGGGCTAATTGAACATTTTAAATACCATCTGAGCTTCCTGGGGAATATACAGCTAGCCCAAATATATAGCCCAATTGGGTGCATTCCAGGCCATGATGATCCTTTAAAGGGAAAATACAACATTTGCAAACATCAAAAAATAAAACTATTCAATCATTTTGAAATACCTTGCTGGACTGTTAGTGAATGACAGTGTAAAGCATCCTGTAAAATCATGGCACCTGGTATACTGTCATTTTCAAGAAAAGTGGTATTTTTGTATCAATTTCCAACGCTGATCGGCCGATCAGCGTTGGAAAAAACTGGCTTTTTTTCAAATACTGGCCCCAGTTGACCCTCGCACTTGTTTGCAATCGATTACACACCTATGAACGGGTACAAGCCAGCTAGACTGGTTCCCTGACCTTACAATTCCCCAATATATGTAAACTGCTCTGTTTCTTCTTCAATGGAGTCAGGGAACCAGACTACAGGAAAATGATCGTTTTTCTTGGTTTTTATAGCATTTTCGAACCCAAAACCTAAAAAAAGTCAGTGTAACTATATTTGCTATATATTTCCAACCCCCCAATTCCATCCATTTCTGAAAATGACAGCAAAAGCAAATGATGTATATTCCCTTTAACGTGACATCACAACTTTGTGTTCACCTTCACGTTTGCTAAAGGGCATTTCCCCCCTCCCCCCAATATTTTGTAAAGACTGGCCTTTTTCATTCAAATGCCCTTTTGTGTCACCAGTGTTGAGTGCCCGTTTTTTAAGAAGTGCCCTTTTTTTCTTAACCAGTTCCTTTTTTTCTAAACAAGTACCCATTTTAAAAATTGGTGGTGCCATTTTGTGTGCCATCTGCCGTTCCCTGTACCTTTTTTTTTTTTTTAATTTCATGCATGTATCACCCTGAAAAGCACTATATATTGTCTGTTAGTGGGTATAATCGTCAGTTTTGAACAGCGCCCACAATGACAGATGGTACCAGCCCCCCCCCCCCAACCACTATTTGATTTTACGGAGGCCAAGTATCAGGATAAACAAATGTGTCTACATTTCACCACGGATGTGCAACTGCCCTTTTTGAATTTTTTTTAACCCCCCCCCAAATAAAAAATGACCTTGCTACGTGACTGCAATGTTACTATAACTCTTGTACAGGAGCATTCTGTGAGATTAACTTGAACGACTGTGACCCGGACCCTTGCCAGAACGGCGCGGAATGCTCAGATCAGCTCAACGCATACGCCTGCGTCTGCTTACCGGGCTACAGCGGGATCCACTGTGAGGTTGATATAAACGAATGCCAACAACTGAACGTGCAATGTCAACATGGCGGAACCTGTGTGAATAAGGTAAATTTGTGTAAAAAGTATAAAGCATCCATTTCACATAAAATCTCACCAGCCTGTTCTCATTAATGACGCAAGGTTTCCAATTTAGGGTTTTGGCACAAGCATTCACAATGGGAAATGCTCACTGCAAATTGATACTTTTACTGACAAAATTCTTTGCCATATCCCTGCCGCTACTGCACTCACCTTGTCTTTCTGATTGCATGCATATAGGTAGGAGACTTTGAGTGCTCATGCGTTGCCGGTTATAGGGGGCGCTATTGTGAGGAGGAGGTCAACGAATGCGAGTCAAACCCGTGTGGCAACGGAGGAAGCTGTCGCGATGAGCTGGCTTCATTTTCCTGTGTTTGTTCGCAAGGTAAGGCATTCGTTCATATCCATAAGCGACCTCTAATTGCTTTTAGCTTCATAGCTTATTTTTTCCACTAAGAAATGGGCAACTTTGTTTGTTTATTTCAGTAACAGAAGCACTTTTATCCTAAGTTGTTTCATAAATACCTGAGACTGTTTTAAACCCCATGTTAAAACACCGCTGCGTTCTGTGTCACATCCCGCATTACATGCCGCTTGCGCCAATTTCCATATAGGGAGATTTTAAGCACTCTGCACGCGGCAGGCATAGACTTTGCCAGAGTTGCACCAAACATATTTGCACCAAACATGAAGTAAAATTGTTGAAGAAAATCATTGGAAATTTCTGAATTTTTGACTGAAAGATATTGATTAATGGGAATAAATTTGTGTTTGGCTGGTATTAAACAAGTGCATTTAAAACTGGCTTGGGTCCTGGATGCAGATAACGATCCTCGCCTTCATTTGGGCCATTATCAGCATCCAGGCTCCTAGTTAGTTTCGTACCTGTTTAAAACTAACCAAGCACATCAATTCCCTTAGAGTAGGCATTTTAGTGTGAAGACTACTCCAAATTTTGATTAAAATACTTTTGATTAAAAAGTGGAAACTCTTTAAAGGTAGAGTATATCATATGCAGCTATTCAAAAAGTAACTCAGAAAGTTATTGTTTAAAAAACTTACTTGGTTTAAAGATAGTAATGGCACTAAACTCCTTGAGAAATTATTCCTTCTGGCATGATGTCATTTTGAAGAAAACAATTAAAGAAGGTCATTACCAATGATGCGTCTGATGGCAAAAGCCCCCCCCCCATGAAACCTTGTCGCCCCCCCAGTCGCCCCCCCCCCCCCCCACTGAGATTTTGAGTTTCGAAAAAAATTATCATTGATCTACATGACGCCCCCCATGAAATGTTCCAGCGCCCCCCTACTGAAAAATTCCTGGCTACGCCACTGCATTGGATAGAACATGTAGAACAATGCGTCCTGAGAGAAATTTGACCACTGAAAAACTGCAGTCGCGCGCCGAGTCTCGCGCACACACAACTTGCCAGTGCCATATCACGCCTCTACCCAGAAATTTGGGGAAGTCGTTTATTTGTGTGTAGAGGATCCGTGAACAGAGTGAAAACTCAATGTTTGGATTAAAAAAATACGTGTACATACCCTTTTATTTTGATGGTATTTTAGGGTTTGCCGGTGCGCAGTGTAACGTCGAGGTCAATTTGTGTCTGGAGGCTCCCTGCAGTAACGGTGCCACATGCATCCCCAGCCCGGGGGGTTTCACCTGCACATGCCCGGCAGGATACAGGTACAGTACATATTCAATTCAATTCAATTCAACATTTATTTCCAGCTCATACAAACACTATATAGTAATGATTATATGAAGAAAACAAAACAACAGTTGGAGGCATACACACAAAAAGCCAAAGCTTGTAAAGGGAATGCCTTTTAAAATAAAATGAAAATATGTAATAAAAATGTATGTAGTTTATGCAGTACCCGCTGCTATGTACATCAGATTCGAACCAGCCAACCGATCCCGTTAGCTCGGTGGTCGAGTGGTGAGACATCTGCACTAGAAAGCAGGACGTCGTGGGTTCGAGTCCCACCTGAGTGATTTTTTTCCAACTTTCACTCGGGAGATATAACACACTGAGTATACGGTGTTTAAATGTCGGTGAAGGGCAAAACCTATAGTTTGATTGATATTAATCACCGTATTATCGTATAATAATGAAAATATGACCGTAACTAATTACAACATATACAAGTAACAGAACAGAAGAAAATGAAATGGACAAACAAACAACCCCACTACCAAACAAACAAACAAACGAACAAAAAATAAACAGACAAGTGGACAAAAGGTAATGAGTAGAAATTATGTGATACAATAGAGGAAAGTTAATGTTTGAATGACGCATACGATATAACCAGTCTGGAGTATTATAACATCGAGGTATGTGTGTAGACGGATAATGCAAACAGGCAAGTATCGGGTAGAAAAAGAACAAAACATAACAAACTTTCAAATAGGCCATCAGCCTCGGTCCAAAATTTTGGCAACCGGTATCAAATGAGGGGAATAATCGTCATAGCGATTTTTTGGCAAGGTATACACCTCCAGAGTTGGAAAATATGTGATAGCATTGCAGCGGTGGCAGCTTTTTAGGTGTTATCACCCGTTTTTTCAAAATGTCCATCAAAATGCTTGTTACCACTCTAGGGGCGGTATACCTTGCGCATGCGCACTATAATAAGCCTTTTCGGAGTTCCAACTGCGCGCATTCGTAACCTGTGACAACGCACATTGTTTGTCTCAAATGCCCTTTGACAGTACCCACAATGCACAAACAGCCTTTTTGTAAAGTCAGTGGCGCAATGATGTCAAAGGCCATTTGAGACAAACAATGCGCGTTGTCACAGGTTATGAATGCGCAGTTGGAACTCTGAAAAGGCTTATTATTTATGCCCTGATTTGATACCGACCAAACCCCCCAAGCTGATGGCCTAAAATAGGGAAAAATTGAAAGAATATGTGGAGAAAAACACTTATGTTACATAAAGAGAGAGGAGGTATTTTTTTTTGTAGTCAGTTTCATATCTGAATGTGTATACAATGTGAATTTGATGTCATGGAACATTTTTTTTTATGGGAAATTCTTGCTTAGTAGGTTTGCATGTGTTCAACCTATTAACAGCGATTAAAATTTGCATTAAAACTTGCCGTGATGTCACTTTTTTAAGTTCGCATTTGCTCCTGCTTTCTAGTGCAGAGAGCTTATACCCACGTGACCACCGAGCTAGGGCCGGTTGGCTGGTTCGACTCTGATGCACATGTAGCAGCAGGTACCGCAATTAAACTGAAGTGCGTCTTGATACTCCTTTTTGTCATTTCCTATGCTATGGGACCAGCTTTACTAGACTTGCCTTCTCTTGTTTTTATTTTCTCATCAGTGGTTCCCTGTGCGACGCAGAGGTCGATGAGTGTCTGAGCCAGCCATGTCTACACCAGTCGCAGTGTTCTGATCAAATCAACGGTTACCAATGTGCTTGCCTACCGGGCTACCTCGGTACTCACTGTGAAATAGGTAATGAGTTGTCTTACGAAAATTTGTTGTGGATTGAGTAGGAAACTTTTCAAAGTATTTCTCATTATTGGTTTGTAGTTTTGGGTTTTCATCTAGCTCGTTTCACAAACACAATCATAATTGGCTCCCTGTGTGAATATTGAACCACTTTTTGACCACTTTTGAGAGCCCAGCGGATGGGCCGCACCATGTGTGCGTACTGGTACATGCGCTTATATCGTGAAGTACATACACATTGTTTTATACCATCTTGGCTTGAGCATGATCAGGCATCATCAGCAATGCGTGATGAAGTCAACTGGGGCCAAGTTCGCACAAGGACTATAGTTGACCAATGGTTAACTAATGTTTGCCCGAATTATGTCTAGTCGACGGTGGTTGACTACGCTGGTCGACTATTTGGAACCAGCCTACTGGGGTTGGTTGCTTCGCTGGTAACCAATAGCTGCGCGCATCCATAGCGCGCATCCATAACGCTTGCACTGAGAGCCAGGATCCAGAAGTTTTGCGATGACATTTTGACCAGCGTTTGACTAGAGACGTTCGCACGTTGCTATCAGTGCGCAGGCGTAAGGTACGTCACAAATCAACCACTAGTCGACTAATGGTCCTTGCCCGAACTTGGCCAATGTTGACCATAAGCAGGACCGATTTCATCAAACACGGATAGGATTCACCAAGTTGTACATATAGTTTGCCAGTAGTTTAATTTGTTTTACCCAGGTAGAGCTTTCCTCAAACCATGGTCCCAGTGGCGTCACCAGACTTTTCAGTCTGGGGGGGCACAGGGGGGCACCAGCATTTGATGGGGGGGGGGGGGGGGGGCACTTAGGTGGATACGGATCGCCGTCCTGGGCGAGGGGTCTAAGGGGAGGGGGTGCCCTCCCCTTAGACCCCTCCCCCAGGAAATTTTCGCATACGGAGGATGGGCTAGATGCAAAATGGTGCCACATTTGATGCTCATTTGAAGAAAATACGAATTACTGTGCTTCTTTGTCCTTATGAAAAACCAACTCAGATGATGGGAGTTGAATATAACAAAATATATATATATTTTTTTACCAACCCAAATCTCAGATGGGGGGGCACTCGGGGGGGGCACTAGGTTTTCCAGGGGGGGGGGCACGTGCCCCCCCTGGCCCCCCTTGGCGACGCCACTGCATGGTCCCAACCAGGCTTGGTTTTTACCTGTCTAGAGTGCCGGACATAAGAAGCTGAGTTGGATTCTCGCTAGTGTGAAAGGGGTTCCCACAATACAGTGTATGACCCAAGTCCAACATGGACATGTTGGGTTGTGTGTAATATAGGCCCTTCCCTGTACTGCCTCAAACCACCCCAGTGTATAGGGGTATGAATATTTGGGTAGTACAGGAACCTGGTACCCGATTGAAAAAACCCCCAGAGGTACCCAGTTAGCTGATAAAGACACCCAACAGGAACCTGGCACCCAATTGAAAAACAGAGGTACCCAGTTAGCCGATAAAGACACCCAACAGGAACCTGGCACCCAATTGAAATACAGAGGTACCAGTTAGCCGATAAAGACACCCAACAGGAACCTGGCACCCAATTGAAAAACAGAGGTACCAGTTAGCCGATAAAGACACCCAACAGGAACCTGGCACACAAAAAATAAACAGACAAGTGGACAAAAGGTAATGAGTAGAAATTATGTGATACAATAGAGGAAAGTTAATGTTTGAATGACGCATACGATATAACCAGTCTGGAGTATTATAACATCGAGGTATGTGTGTAGACGGATAATGCAAACAGGCAAGTATCGGGTAGAAAAAGAACAAAACATAACAAACTTTCAAATAGGCCATCAGCCTCGGTCCAAAATTTTGGCAACCGGTATCAAATGAGGGGAATAATCGTCATAGCGATTTTTTGGCAAGGTATACACCTCCAGAGTTGGAAAATATGTGATAGCATTGCAGCGGTGGCAGCTTTTTAGGTGTTATCACCCTTTTTTTCAAAATGTCCATCAAAATGCTTGTTACCACTCTAGGGGCGGTATACCTTGCGCATGCGCACTATAATAAGCCTTTTCGGAGTTCCAACTGCGCGCATTCGTAACCTGTGACAACGCACATTGTTTGTCTCAAATGCCCTTTGACAGTACCCACAATGCACAAACAGCCTTTTTGTAAAGTCAGTGGCGCAATGATGTCAAAGGCCATTTGAGACAAACAATGCGCGTTGTCACAGGTTATGAATGCGCAGTTGGAACTCTGAAAAGGCTTATTATTTATGCCCTGATTTGATACCGACCAAACCCCCCCAAGCTGATGGCCTAAAATAGGGAAAAATTGAAAGAATATGTGGAGAAAAACACTTATGTTACATAAAGAGAGAGGAGGTATTTTTTTTTGTAGTCAGTTTCATATCTGAATGTGTATACAATGTGAATTTGATGTCATGGAACATTTTTTTTTATGGGAAATTCTTGCTTAGTAGGTTTGCATGTGTTCAACCTATTAACAGCGATTAAAATTTGCATTAAAACTTGCCGTGATGAATATAGGCCCTTCCCTGTACTGCCTCAAACCACCCCAGTGTATAGGGGTATGAATATTTGGGTAGTACAGGAACCTGGTACCCGATTGAAAAACAGAGGTACCCAGTTAGCCGATAAAGACACCCAACAGGAACCTGGCACCCAATTGAAAAACAGAGGTACCCAGTTAGCCGATAAAGACACCCAACAGGAACCTGGCACCCAATTGAAATACAGAGGTACCAGTTAGCCGATAAAGACACCCAACAGGAACCTGGCACCCAATTGAAAAACAGAGGTACCAGTTAGCCGATAAAGACACCCAACAGGAACCCAATTGAAAAACAGAGGTACCAATTGCGATAAAGACTAATTGGCCCTTCCCTGTACTGCCTCGAACCACCCGCAGTGTATAGGGGTATGAATTTTCGGGTAGTACAGGAACCTGTTACCTGATTGAAAAAACAGAGGTACCCAGTTAGCCGATAAAGACACCCAACAGGAACCTGGCACCCAATTGAAAAAAAAGGTACCAGTTAGCCGATAAAGACACCCAACAGGAACCTGGCACCCAATTGAAAAACAGAGGTACCAGTTAGCCGATAAAGACACCCAACAGGAACCTGGCACCCAATTGAAAAACAGAGGTACCCGGTTAGCCGATAAAGACACCCAACAGGAACCTGGCACCCAATTGAAAAACAGAGGTACCAGTTAGCCGATAAAGACACCCAACAGGAACTTGGCACCCAATTGAAAAACAGAGGTACCCAGTTAGCCGATAAAGACACCCAACAGGAACCTGGCACCCAATTGAAAAACAGAGGTACCAGTTAGCCGATAAAGACACCCAACAGGAACCTGGCACCCAATTGAAAAACAGAGGTACCAGTTAGCCGATAAAGACACCCAACAGGAACCTGGCACCCAATTGAAAAACAGAGGTACCAGTTAGCCGATAAAGACACCCAACAGGAACCTGGCACCCAATTGAAAAACAGAGGTACCCAGTTAGCCGATAAAGACACCCAACAGGAACCTGGCACCCAATTGAAAAACAGAGGTACCCAGTTAGCCGATAAAGACACCCAACAGGAACCTGGCACCCAATTGAAAAACAGAGGTACCCAGTTAGCCGATAAAGACACCCAACAGGAACCTGGTACCCAATTGAAAAACAGAGGTACCAGTTAGCCGATAAAGACACCCAACAGGAACCTGGCACCCAATTGAAAAACAGAGGTACCAGTTAGCCGATAAAGACACCCAACAGGAACCTGGCACCCAATTGAAAAACAGAGGTACCCAGTTAGCCGATAAAGACACCCAACAGGAACCTGGCACCCAATTGAAAAACAGAGGTACCAGTTAGCCGATAAAGACACCCAACAGGAACCTGGCACCCAATTGAAAAACAGAGGTACCAGTTAGCCGATAAAGACACCCAACAGGAACCTGGCACCCAATTGAAAAACAGAGGTACCAGTTAGCCGATAAAGACACCCAACAGGAACCTGGCACCCAATTGAAAAACAGAGGTACCCAGTTAGCCGATAAAGACACCCAACAGGAACCTGGCACCCAATTGAAAAACAGAGGTACCAGTTAGCCGATAAAGACACCCAACAGGAACCCAATTGAAAAACAGAGGTACCAGTTAGCCGATAAAGACTAATTGGCCTTTCCCTGTACTGCCTCGAACCACCCGCAGTGTATTAGGGGTATGAATTTTCGGGTAGTACAGGAACCTGTTACCTTATTGAAAAAAAACAGAGGTACCCAGTTAGCGGATAAAGACACCCAACAGGAACCTGGCACCCAATCGAAAAACAGAGGTACCAGTTAGCCAATAAAGACACCCAACAGGAACCTGGCACCCAATTGAAAAACAGAGGTACCCAGTTAGCCGATAAAGACACCCAACAGGAACTTGACACCCGATTGAAAAAAAAAAACAGAGGTACTTACCCAATAAAGACACCCAACGCACCATACATGCTAACATTCAAATCTCGGAAGTTGATGTTGAGATTGCTTACAACTGTCCACTTGATAATACTACAGCAAGAATACATTGTACAGTGAGCTTTATGGCTTCATGGCAGCTTCTGTGAGCATCGTAAATGTGAAATAGGCCTATGCTTTGTTTTCCTGGGTAGCCTGGTTTTTGTTTTGAAAATTCCCCCAAATGACTTCAAAACCTGAGAAGTATTTATAAGTATAATTTGTATAAAGTTGGTTACGGGTACCCGATCCCATAAACTACAACCGGTTCCGGACATTAACGGTCGGGTATATACTTGCATGGGTACCCAGTTTCGATGCACTTCCCTGCCAGTGTGTGGTTGTATACATTCATCTGAGGAGTATATCAGGTGATCATGGGTTTAAAGGGAATATACAACATTTGCAAACATCGAAAAATGCAACTACCAAGTTTTTACGAAATACCTTACTAGGATGTTGGTAAATGACAGTCTCAAGCATCTTGTAAACTTATGGCACTTGGTGTGAAGTCATTTTCGAGAAAATGGCATTTTTGTATACATTTCCAACGGTGGTCGGCCGACCAGCATTGGAAAAACCTAACTTTTTTCAACTACTGCTCCAAATTTACCATTTTTTTCAGTCCAAATTTTGTTTGCCATTGGTTACATGTTCATGAACGGGTGCAGGCCAGCTAGACTGGTTCCCTTTGCCTTACAATTTTCCATCATCTATAAATTGATCAATTTTTCTTTTGTGGAGTCAGGGAACCAGACTACTTGAAAATTTTTGGTTTTTTTTGGTTTTTCCAACCTTTTCGAACACAAAACTTCAAAAATGTCAGTGTAACAATATTTGATCTATTATACTAACCCCTCAAATAGTTCATTTCTGAAAATTACAGCAAAAGCCAATGATGTACATTCCCTTTAATAGGAATGCAATTTCTTTATTGTCTTAGAGTTGGACACCGACTTTGACCTCAAGTTTTCCAGCTCAGTACCCGGCGCAGACCTGGTACAAGCAGTCAACCTGATTGAAGGCGCACTCACTGGATTGTCAGCCTCGGTGTGGTTCAGATCCACCAGTTGCCATGGTGATATCAACCTCATCACTTTGTCGGCGCCCGGTGGGCAAGCAGTTAGGTTGAGCCAACCGAGCGACCTGATGTTGACCCTCCAAGGGTAAGAAAACTTGTAACATTTTACCCTCAATTTGAAACTTCCTCTCTATGGTTTCTGTGCACGAGTACACCTTCAAAGGCCAGAAACGGAGAGTTGAGGGAGAGCTACACTGGTTCCTGGTCTATCTACTGCGTATTTTGAATGATCCAAAGTAATTGGGGGCGGGGATTAGTCTGGGAGACCATCGCAAGTTAAATTCGAACGTATTCATACGCCAACGACACCTGACGCTCACTCGAAGACGCTGTGACTAATAGCTTTTGCACATTCAGGAAGTCGTGTGTACTATCGCGCACAAACCAGTACAGTGCAGTATGTGCATGTTGTGTGTCCCATCCACGAAGCCCCGAGTCAAAACTGGTAAAAATGGGCCCTCTTTTGTTGGCACATGGAGCCCATGCTTCAACAAAATAGATTTTCAAAACAAGTTTTCCATTTTGACATTTGGTATGTTTTTTTTTTACATTTTTTTGCCATCTTGAACCCTCTGAAAAAGGCTTTATTTTGGGTCATTTTTGTACCTCCAACTAAAAAATACCCACCTTTCGGCTGCGAGTTTTTCCTCGGATCTGCTGATTTTCTCAATATTTCAAATTGGTATATATGACATTTTGGAATTTGAAAGAGGAAAGCCTTGTTCTAACTAAAGATAGGGATGATACCAACAACCCTGTGAAATTATTCCGCCCGAAAAGATACAATATCGTTGGGAAGAAAAACATAATTGAAGGTGGTTTTAAAAACGTGTGTCAATGTGTACACTTCTTTACCTGCGTGAGTAATCAAATTCTTAATACCCGACCTATAAAACTGTGAATACCTTTTTTTTCTCAAAAATATAAATTATCCACTTAGCTGAAACTTTAACAAGTTAGTTATTATGCAAAGTTCTTAAAATTATGAGCAATTTTATTGTTTCAAATGGAGTGCTGTGGAGTGTTGTGGCCTCGTGGTTAAGCGCACTGGGTTCATGGTCGATCTGTGGGTAAAGCTGCAGGTTGTGGGTGCGAGTCCAGCCCGGGGTCAAGGTGTGTGTGCCCTTGAGCAAGGCACTTTGTCACTCACGCTTCTCCCACCCAGGAGTAAATGGGTACCTTTGAGGGCAGAGATTGTTATTGTGATTGAATAAGCTTCCTTTCGCCTAACAGGCTACAGCGAGCTTAATACGCCCCAGGGATCTGAGATGGCATTTGGAATGTTTAATTGGCCCAATGATCAGGGGTATTAATAATGTAAAGCACGTTAATCTTACTTAAAAGCACTATATAAGAACCGTTATTATTATTATCATTAAATGAAAACTAAAAAAAAATGCCCAAAATGCACATAAAGGAAATGATCAGACTACCTTGAATCAGAACGTTGCTTGATGGCATTTTCAGATCCGGGGGGATTTCACTTCACCAGACCTCGGCCGGGGTATCGTCCACGCTCTGCGATGGGCACTGGCACGGCGTGCTGCTGACCTGGCATCGGACAGGGGGGAGTCGGGAGTGGACCGTGTACGTGGATCAAGCCATGACGTCGCAAGGCAATCTGGCCAGTCAGCTGTTTGAGTTACCTGAGGGTCTGGTGCTCACCGTCGGACCACAAGCTGATGAAGACGGTAAGTGTCATGTGGCGTTGGGGCTTGATGGAGTTGATGAAGGGGTTCAAAGAACCTCCTGGTGATTAAGTACCATCGGGGGGGAGGGGGGGGGCAGATCAGCCTCGACTCCATGGGCACCTGCCCTTTCTTTTACTAACCCCTGGCCATGATGAACACGTAAATGACGCTGACTGACTGTTCAGAGCGTACTGCATGCATATTTCGAAGACTGGACGCCCTTTTTTTTCAAAACTGTGCAATACCTGTACGATATGGATTATGGTAGCCTCGTTTTTCGCCCCCCAAAACATGTGTCTTTAGTTGTAAAAGGACAAAGAGGTACGTACATTTAATACAAATACTTGCTGAATAACGCAACGTTGAAACCTCATGTTTGAAAGGATTGATTCTTCAAAAAAATAAAATTCAACTTTTTAAGCACTGCGTCGCCCGTTAGATACATCGACTGCAGTCCTAATTTAAATGTGACACTTTTTGACACATTTGAATTAGACAATTCCAGGGGTTAAGATCGCACAAGGCATGATGGGAAACAACATGGCGCAGCAAGATCGTACCCATGGAAACGAGGTTTGGGGCAGATACTACAGTGCAGATGGACTTTCATGACAACTTGTGAGAGCTCGGGGGGGGGGGGGGGGGAGGGGAGACACTAGTTTGCACATGTGTCACAGGAAGTAAGAAAGACTAACTTATTCTGAGTGTACAAAGCTCGTATCTTCTTTGCATGAGCAACAGGCATTCGTCATTCATTCATTTGTTCATTCACTTTCATGAGGAGCTGGGCCCCTGTCCCCTATGTCCCCATAGTGTTGGAAAGCGATGGATCACTCAGACCACCAGTTTCCAGCTCGATGGATGTTTTCAGGGTCATGTTGGAATGAATTGTATGAAGAGGGGCATCAGGATACCAGAAAATTACATGACTAGCTGGCTCATTATGGCGGAAAACTATTCATTCGAATTCGTATTTTTAATATTTTAGCTACTGTTCATAATAAATGCAATTAATGAATGCGCATAATAAATGCAATTTTATTATTATTATTATTAAAACCTGATGACTGGCTAGCGGAAGGCGATGCTGTGTGATGATGGTGAAGATAGGGGGAAAGGCACCGTATAGAACAGAGTTAGGGAGATGTTGTTGCCAGGCATTCATATATGGTGGCAATTATATTTCTAATGGGGAAGATCCATAATTATTTTAACAATATCTCTAACCCTCAAAGGGCCGGGGGGGGGGGGGGGGGGGCGGAATCAAGGCATAACAATTGAATCATGTTCTAAGCCAAAAGACGTGTTACATTGAAAACTGTGGTTTTATATTTCACCAGTGGAGGGTAGCAACGTGGAGCTGGAACTGACCGGTGTCAACATCTGGGGACGTGCATTGATTGGAGATGAGGTACCAGACATTGCTTCCTCTTGCCAACCGTCCGCTCCTGCCGACGTATTTGCCTGGGGCCAGATGATGTTAATACCTAGCACTGGTATCACCCAAACATTGAGGGCACCCTCCCAGTGCGACGGTAAGCATGATCAAGGGCGTAGCCAGACCAGTTTGATTGGGGGGGGGGAGGGGGGGAGGTAGTGACAGTAAATTTGCCAGGTAGCCAGGAATTGTGTTCTGGGCAACTAGACACCATCCGAGTAGTGGAGCCGCCATTCAAATCCAATGATCTTGGACATTATTGGGCAGTAGGTGGCTCTCTTCCTTGCGGCAAATTTTGCCGATAAACATGATTTTATCCACAGTCATTTAATGTTTGGTTCAAAAGTATAGAAAATAGTGTTCTTTGTTAAAATAAAAACTTGTGAGTAAAGTAGCAAAGAAAAAATATGAAAAATCTCTGAGCATGATTTCGTGTGCTACAGAAATGCTCGTTGGGAACATTTACAAATCCTGGTTTTGTCGTCACATTTTGCAATTCATTTTTGTTTAAATGTGACAGATTTTGACGAGTGTTCGAGCAACCCTTGCCAAACTGGCGAGTGTGAGAACCACCTGGGAACGTTTGTGTGTCGCTGCCCGCCGGGACGGGAGGGAGACCGATGCCAGACCAAGACTGACTACTGTCAGCCAGACTCATGCCTCAACCAAGCCGGGTGCCACAGTGAGAACTTAGTTTACATGTGTGCTTGCCCAGCTGGTTTTAACGGCACACGCTGCGAGTTGGATATTGGTGAGTAGATTTGGGGTCCAGTTACTTGAGTTAATCCCCTGTCCAAGTCTTAAGTCACAAAAAGGCAATCACAACTTATCTTATCGCTAAAAAGACATTACAATAAAAAAAATTGAATAAATACAATTCTTGATTTCAGTGAATGGTGGTTGGGGATCCTGGACTCCGTTTTCCGATTGCACAAAGTCCTGCGGAGGAGGAAAACTGTTCCGATCCCGTGCCTGCGATAGTCCACTGCCGTTGAACGGAGGGCTGGCCTGCCCTGGAGAAGGACGGCAGTTGCAACAGTGCAACACTGGCAAATGCCCAGGTGAGAGGTAGTTCTATTCCATCAGCTAGGTCAAAGTGCAGAATATCTTTTGCAGAACGAAACAGATTTAACATGATGAATTAAAAGTTGTAAAAGATTTGAATTTGCTTTCAACAATGTATGCTCTGGCTAAGTTGTTCTAATAACAAAAAATTAACGGTGCCGTCATAAAATATTAGAGCGCCCTCTAGTGGCATATTATAGATGATTATAGATGAAAACTGATGTGACATCATCATAACGTCATCACGTGACATTTGAGGTCATAATTCAAAGCCCCATGAGAATGTAATCACATGCCAATATTTATTATGAACAGAACTACACATCCTTAAAGGAAGGAACTTATGCTTGAAACTTTGCAGTCATGCTGTTCTTTTCTTCCCTTTTTTGTGTTTATCTGTTTTGTTTCATTTTGTTGCATTTTACTTCATTTGTTGTTTCAATTTAATTGTTGTTTCAATTCAATTCAACAGAACTTCAATTCATTTATTTTTTATTTTTTTGATTGTGTTACTTATTTTGCTTTGTTTCATACAATTTAAATTTTTTGTTAATTTTGTCTCTTACTGTTTCAGTGTTTCATTGTTCTTTGCTTTGTGGACTCACATGTAGTACTTGTGCACATAGTGCTTGAAGTCCCGAGCCACAATCCTGGCCAAAATGCTTGGGACATGTCCACACAATGAGCATACCCTCCCCGGTCCCCCGCTACCCAGTCAATGTTGTCATCTCGCGCTTGAGCACAGACCACGCAATAAGAGAAAACATTGGCCCGGGGGCCGGGGGGGGGGGGGGCCAGCGAGTTTTGGCCGTGATTGTATGCTGGCCCTTCAAGGGCCCCCCCCCAAAAAAGGAGCAAATTTCAAAAAGATTTAAAGATTTCCACTCAATTTTTCCAATCGCTGCCATCTATTTTATTTTCCGCAGCTTGCATCAATCTGAGTCAGCCGATGAGAGGATCACTACATTGCAACCAAACGGAAAACAACAAACACTGCCGCATTGCTTGCAACGCTGGCTACAACTTTGACAGGAGTCCTTTGGTGGAGTTCCACTGTGGGCAGAGTACCAACTACGCCTGGAATCACCAGACTATTGATAATCCCTATGCCAAGCTGCCATCTTGCATCAGTGCGTATTTTATTTTTTTCAGTGACCACTGATTTAAAGTTTCTTAGACTATCTCCCCTTGCTCTTGAACTTAAGTTTAGTTTTTGCAAATTTTCTGTTTGCATGTTTTGTTTTCACTGATTTAAAAAAAAAAAAGTTTCATATTGGGGTCTGCAAGCCTCTCAAACAACTGTAACCTGTGGAGACACAATGACTTAATTGTCCAACTGGAACCAGATTGCTGGTGCCAAAGCATTCCAGTTGGGACGCCAAAAAAATGGAGGGGGGGGGACAGTCACAAAAATCTGAAGCCTGTGTATGAGAAATGTAGAATGGTGTATAACCAATACATGTACAAAGACATTGGCTGCACACTATCTACGGCTGTATAAATGCATGTGTGGCGTGTTTTTGTGTTAAGTATCAATGTTATAATGCTTTCATTGGCCCCAAATTTTATGAATCTTAAACAGCAAAGAAAATAAGCATAATTCATCTACTTGCAGATAAAGTGTTCGGGGATATGACTCATATCTTGTGTAGAACTACCTTGACTGTTTCGTTATAAGCGGTAAAAATGGACATGAAATCAAATTGTTAGCTTTGATGCGTTCTGCTTAAGATGGGTTGATGAAATTGGTCTGAGGACCCGTCTTAGCTAAGATCGATCTTAGAGCGAGGACTCGTCTTAATTCCTACGACGAGTTGCAAGATATGACGAGTCTCGTGAAATCGGCCCCATCCAGGAAATAAAATGTTTGCCTTTTAAGTTGATGATATTCTGCATGGATTTATTCATAATGAAATAATTTTGGGTTTTTTCCCCCCTTGTTTTTGAACTTACACTTTCACAGAGGCAGTAAATCGCATTGGGACGGCCGCACAAATCGGATTCACTGTGCCGCAAGTTTCCTGCACTTCAGAGGACCAAAAAGTCAGCATTATGCGGAGCGTTAGGCAGAGTCAAGCATTGACAAGCGTGGACTGTTTGAGGGACAGCTCTTGCACTTCTACAGTTTCGGTGAGTTTTTGTGAATAGTGTGTGCGTGAGAATGGTGATATATAGTTCTATAGACGTATATCCCAGCACATGACCAGAGGGGGCTGCACCTGGCGCACCTCCCCACCCCCTCCCTATTTTTCACCTTTTCAACCCGTGTGCCAGAACCTGTATCATGCAGTGGCTTGGAAAAGTGTAGTGACACGACAACAACCACCTTCTCTAAAAAAAAATAGGAGGTGTATCTTGTCTCTTTTCCTTGTTTCTGCTGTAAAAGTAAAGGAGAGTGACCATCTCTCTTTTGAAGCGATTGGGCCAGACTGGAGTCCATGAAATGCTGCTGTGGGGGGATCGCCACACCTCCTCCACAGCGGGTCTGTAACCATCCCAGCATTGAATAATGCCGGTACCCATTGAACACCTGGGTTGAGACGAGTAATTGAGGTAAAGCACCTTACTGCAGGCCACGGCGGGGCTCGAACCCACAATCTCACGATGATCCTGTGCTCCACTGCTATACCACACGTGCCCCATGTAAACTGGTTATTTAATCACTTCAAAAACAGAAATTTTCATCCACATGAGCAAATACATGTAGACTAGTTATTTGATTTGTTTCTGAAAATGTATCAAAACAAATATCTCTAAAGGCCTCAGAAAGGTCTCAACTACAAAATGTGTGCGTTGTCGTCTCAAATCTTTAAGAAAATAATCTACAGGTCTCATTGGTATGTTTGTTTGTTTCTCTTTCCAGGTCGTCAACTGTGGGACTGGTGGGGGTCGTGCCGCAAGACAGTCTGAGTCGAGTAACGTCAAGATTAAAGTCACTTTCTTTACCAACACAACAGCTGGGAACACCACTGGATTGACTGAGGAAGGTGGGATTTTCGTGTTTTAATTTCCCCTTGTCTGTATGACTTCTTGTTTTTGTTGCGGTACCTACAGCTACGTCATATTCAAACCACAGCCAACTGACTCTGGCAAGCTCTGTACTGTGGTCGAGTGGTAAAACATCTGCACTAGAAAGCAGGAGATCGGTAGTTCGAGTCCCACCAGTGGCGTAAGTAGGGTTGAGCTGTTAAGGGGACACCTGATGGGGGTATACCAGTTTTTCAAGGGGGCACGGAGGGCAACATTCATATTGTTTGTGTGCAATTCAAAATTTCAAATGGGGCCACTTGGGGGGGGGGGGAGAGGACCTTCGCAGCCTCAATTCCATGATTTTCTAAAGTTTCTCTGCTTTTTCCCTTTCTTTTCTGTAGCTGAAGACAATGACGTTGTCAGGCAGGCCGGTGAGCTGTTGATGGAGCTCATACAATCTGGAGACTTCATGATAACCACGGATGGCGGGGTCGTGCGGCCAGACCCGGCAACATTGGTGGAGGATGGGTGGGACTTGTGTCCGGACGGAACAGTGGAGAGCCCGGGCGGATTTTGTGGTAAGTATGGAGATTTGAAGGTTTGCATGGTGGAAAGATACTAATACAAGATAAGCTTGCGACTGCACCATGTGAATAAATCTCTCAGTTTTGTGAGTATGTGTGGTTCTAAAAAGAACAGGAGGAACTCAATGTTTCGATACGCTCCAGTAATCATCCAGCATCCCTCAGTTAACTTGCATCCTTCTCAGCGTCATCAGTTTCGAGCTTCACCAGTTTGCATCCTTCTCACGCCTCACTGCACCCATCCATATAACATTGCATCATCGTTGGAATCCCTCATTCTTCTGATGACGGTCAGAGCATACTGTTGGAAATGTTGAGTCCCTCCGGTTCTTTTCAGAACCACACATACTCACAAAAGAGATTTATTCACATGGTGCTACCGCAAACCTATCTGTCTTATGTGGACATGGCAGTGTTGTTTGGCTCGAGTCTGCGACTTGGACTTTGAGTCCGTCTTGAATCACAATTTCGGTGACTTGGACTCGACTCGAGTCACATCGGAAAAAGACTTGGACTCAAACTTGGACTGGACCATTGTAACTTGGTCTCGACACTTGTGAGCATTAATTTTCTGCCGACGGTTCCATCACGGCGCAAGCAAATCGTGAGTTGAACTGAGGACACTGTAAGCTTTGCCCACTGCACACGTGGGCAGCCAACACGTGCACCTCTCCAATGCAATACTGCCTGTTGCAGTCGCGTGCCTCATACGTGCGTGCAAGCAATATTTCAGACTTTTGTGCATGCATGTCAGATACAATAGTCAAGGCTGCGATTGGTTGCAACATTGGGTGGGGCTAAGTGGATTTGTCTATTGAACTTATAGCTCTTTAATACTGAACTTATTACAGCTTATTTTATATGATCCCTGATGTATTTTCCCCCATAGTTCACTGTGGACCGGGAACCTTTCTGACCACAAGCATTGTCCAGGAATTGGACCTGGAATGCCGGCCGTGCCCGACTAACACCTACCAGGACCAGGAGAAACAGACGGAATGCAAGGCGTGTCCCAACGGAATGGTTACCAATGGCAAAGGGGCATGCAACCTCACTGAGTGCTACGGTGAGTCCTGGGCCCAGTCTGGCACAGTTGCTACAAGCAGGAAATTTGTTTAGCAAATATGAATACATGTCGAGTAGAAATCAGGCTTTCAAGTGTCCCTACTTTCCCTGTTTTTTCTAGTTTGCTCCTACTTTTCCTATTTCTTTCTTGAAGGTCTTACAGAATTTTCTTCTTTTTTTTTGTTCCTCAACTCCAAAAAATGAAATCTCATCGAATATTTTCCACACACCTGTTGAGCAATGGTATTATGGGGACCCAAGACACTATATGGAGGTAGCAGAAAGTCCCCATAACTTGGTCATAATTTACCTAACAATAACAAATCTTTCCCATAACGCGGTGACGGCCCACCTATCTTTGCCTACTACAATGGCGACGCTGACTTTCCAGTACCCCGATGTTAAGGGCGGGTCATGTGTGTCATTGAGAGTCCTCCAATTAGGTACGATACTTTTCAAAAACAGTGTGACATATCATATGACACAATCTCGGCCAATCAAGAGTCAGAATCCATGGATGAGTTTAATTAACAATGTATGCTATTTTTATCCATATCCAGTGCAATGCACCGAGGGCACCTATTACGAGAGGAGTGATGTCATTGGTGAAAATCAGTGCGAGCCCTGCCCGATAAATACGTACAATCCTACGAAAGGCATGGACTACTGTGTGTCATGCCCGGAGGGTATGGTTACCGATGGGATGGGCGCCAGCCATGAGACAGAGTGTCATGGTAAGTTGTAAGGGGTTGGGAAATGGAGTATAGAGTATCAATAATTGTTTTTAACGCCTGAAGGGTGCTATTGTACTCAAGGCAGTGGAAATTATGTCTATTATCAAAGACAAGGTAAGTTTTATGAGACCCATTATGTAGCACCTTATAAGGGTTTACAAGGTGCTGCAGCGCATATTGCAGCCACTGCCAGAAACACTGCGGCAAACCCCTTCTTTTAGCAATAAGTGTAACTCGGTTCTCTAAATGTGAATTACACAACACAAGCACCATGTTCCCACAGTCAGGATTCAAACCCATAATGTACCACGGCACACTGAGTCGAACCCCGTAACCATTGGACCACAGCACCCCACTCTGAATTTCTGAATGAAATTTAAAGGAACATAATGTCCTGTAACAAATAACATTGCTCGTTTGCATTTGCAGGCCTTTGTACAGTTATGGTTTTCAATAACACGCTTCAGTTCAGAAGGTTTTGAGCGAGATTCTATAAAGCGCGTAGCCCGCATTGTATATGGGGTTAATGTGCATGTAATTTTTTTCAGACTAGACACGTGGTTGTTCTTAACCAATTGTATTACATTGTATTTATTCCCTTGTGAATCCATAAAACCACTGGCCTATTTGGGTGGTACAGAGCCAGGGAAAATTAGGTTAATTGTTAACTGAGTAATAAAATATAATTACTGGACGGATTCATTTAAATTTTTTTATTGATATTTTCAGAGCCTTGGATGTCCACAGCTTCTGCCACGACGCCTGTTGAAACTCCTTCCCCGGGCTTAGACATTGGGTTGTTAGCTGGCGTCATAGTGGGCGCTGTTCTTCTCATCATAATCTTAGTGGTTTGCACTGTCATTGTTTGCCGGTAAGTTTCTTGGCTACTTGTACACGGAGCCCATGTGTACTGGATTCTTTTACATGCATTACACAACACATGGGACCTAGGGCTTGCAAATATGCAAACAAGCAATTTTATTTGTTGCAGGACATTATGTTCCTTTAAATTTCGTTCAGAAATTCAAAGTTTTGAAAAATGCATAGGCTTATATACCAACTTTAAAATACTGGTGTCAATGTTTTTACCTTTTTATGTATACTCTGTCTAGATCCTCTCCCCCAATTTATCAAAGGTATTCAAGCGATTTTTAAGGGGTGGCTGTTTCGTTGAAGTCCAAGACTTTTTCATAGACGGCAGCAAGGGAGGATCCAGGGGGGCCAAAGGGGGCATAGCCCCCCCCCCCAACCAATTTTTGTTTTTTTATGTGACATTGCAATAAAGGCAGGCAATGAGTACACCACCATCTTTTCCTCAAAAAAAAACATCGGCTAAAGTGGTCAGAAATTGCCTCAGATCGCACCACAGAGCATCTAGAATCCAAAAAACGCCGTAAGTTTTTTGACCCACTTTTTGGGGGGACCAAATTTGTTTTGGCCCTCCCAAAATTGTGTTCTGGATCTGCCCTTGGACGGCAGGTTTAGATGGGCAGTTTGCAGTCAATATACGGAAAGACACGAAGGCCTGATGAGACAGTGAATCAGGATATGCAATATTGAGTGAAGACCATGGGTGCACGAGGGGGGGGGGCCAAGGGGGCACTTGCCCCCCCCCCCCGGAAAAGCAAAAAAAAAAAAAAAAAAAAAGAGGAAGGGAAAAAAAGAGAGAAAAAAAGAAAGAAAAATAGATGCAAAGTCAAAGTGGTGTAAATGTAATGGGGTGGGGGGGGCGTGGTCATTGGCGTAGCCAGGAATTTTTTAGTGGGGGGGTGCGGGGGGGGGGGGGGGGGCCTGGAACATTTCATGTGGGGGCGTCATGTAGATCAATGATAATTTTTTTTAGAAACTCAAAATCTCAGTGGGGGGGGGGGGGGTGACTGGGGGGGCGACAAGGTTTTAAGGGGGCTGTCCCCCCCCCCAATCCCAAACCATTCCCCTCACACCCACCCTTGTTTGCTGTGCAAATTCCAACACACTTAAAATTAACATTTCTTTATGTCTTTACTTCAATTGTGATTTCTAGCTGTGCGGGGCACAGGTCCAAACCATCTCAGAGACAGCCGTGCCAAGCAGCAAACGATCATGAGCTTAAACTGAGAGATAAGTAAAGCAAAGAGTGAAGATGTAAGTGATTTGTAAATGTTATAACGTGAACTGGGCCTGAATAAGGATGAGAATCCATGTTTAATTTCATAAACAGTCAGTGAAATTTTCACACAACATTTAAAGGTGCTCTCTCCTTGCTCTTCTTGAGTTTAAACCCCCAAACAAGATTTTGTTTTTAAATTGCTATTTTTTTGTATCAATACACGTTATTCTCTTGAAAATGAGACATTGACCTCAATCAAAAACAAATTTGCCCACGTTTAATTGTTGAATAATAATAACTTTACACATTTCAAATTATTTGCTGCCAGACAATAATTTATGCATATCTTTTGTTCGTTATACGTGGTGCAAAAGTACCCCCCCCCAAAAAAAAGGCATAATTTTAGAGGGTTGAAAACCGGTATCGAAAATGGAAAACAAATGCAAATTGGGAAACTTGGCTGGGAGAAAAAAAAGATGAAAATTGATGATGAAAAAAAGATGAAGTCATGATGACGTTATCACATGACATGTTACGTCATATTAAAGGTGCATTTTTCTACGGCCTATGTCTTCATAACTATATTGGTCGAGATCACTCTGCATTTTTCTACTGAACCTGTATGTGCTATCACATGACATAAAAATACAAAAACAAATAGTGGAAAGAGCCCTATGTTTGTCCACAAACATATACATCTAGTTTTCAGTAAAAATGAAACCATGTCGTATCCTGACAATGATATTAGAATAATCGCATAAACTCTCTGGGGTAGCCAAGTAGAAGGCAGGGCAAAACTATGAACCCTTAGCATTATAAAGCATGTTATTTTTAACATTGGAAGCAGCAGGTTTTTAAATAAATGTTATGATAAGTGCTAGTTAGCATGGTTATGAGAGTGTTCTGATTTGTTTTTTGATATAAGTTTTTCGTTTTGCTGAAATATCACAAACCTTTATTGTGATCCGTGGACAAGCTAAAACAAACGGCGTAAGTGTTCAAAATTCCATAACTGAAAAAGTACATGAGTGATTTGAATGATTCTTTCACTAAAAGTAATATTATTTGGGCTCTCAATATCCTAGATCTGGAAAGCGCTACCCACAGAACTTCTTAAAAACAAAAATTATTTTTGATTATTTTTTTTGTTGTTTTACTCTTATTTAGACATTATGAATGTCATACTTCAAAGTGTTAAAAAAACCGGTTGACAGGCATTCTTGATTCTTTCTGAAAAAAAAAGAGAACTTTTAAACTGAAATTTCATTTAAATGAAAAATTGGGGATTTTTTGTTTGTTTTTGTTTTTGTTTAAACATGGAAGTGTAACATAGTTGCCTGTAATGCCTTATGAGATGTGTTTTAGCTTGCAAGGCAGTTTAAAAAAAAAAAACATCATTGTAACCAGATGTAGCCTATGTAGAATTTTTCGCCTAGGGAATTTGAATGTACCCAAAGGTATATAGAATTTTGTTGCCAAGGAAAAAAAACCCAAATTTTTCTTTATCTTCAATGATGTTTTTATGTTGACAAATGTAATTTGTATAGGCAGGAAAGGTCATGTTCACCATCATAGAGCTGTATTATTACATATGTGTGTTTGGGAGTGTGTGTTCACCTATATTCTAATATTCAATTTCGTCCAGCAACATCAATTTAGTGCACTTCCAATGTTTAATTTCGTCTTTTGTCATATAATTACAAATTTACATCAAGCAAATTTAAACTATGAGCACACATATTCGTCTAGGGTTATTTGATTTCGTCTCGTCTACGCCAAACCTTGTTATTTAAAAAGCAAATTCGTCTCATGCAACACAATTGCATTTTGTTCAATTTTGTCATATTCCACAATGATATCTTCAGTTGAAGCCATGGAGGCCGCTGATAAGAACACATTTTTATTAACGTTTTCTTCTTGTATTTTATCATTAATCATTTTCGTTTGTTAATGTAAATTTGCTTTGATTTGTTGTTCTTGATAGTATTTACACTTTGTGGTAACTAGTGTGATAAACCCATGCGAATGTTCCGAATTGTGCTCGAGGACACAGGAAAATACTTCAGCACGCACCAGACTACTTTACTTAAAGGGAATATACATCATTTCAGAAATGAACTTTTTGGGGGGTCAGAATAATAGATCAAATATTGTTACACTGACATGTTTGAAGTTTTGGGTTCGAAAAAGCTGGAAAACCAAGAAAAACCAAAAATGTTCAAGTAGTCTGGTTCCCTGACTCCACTAAGATGAAATGGATCAATTTAAAGATGCCAGAAAATTGTAAGGTAAGGTAACCAGTCTAGCTGGCCTGCACCCGTTCATGAACATGGTACCAATAGCAAACAAAATTTGGACTGAAAAACAATGGTAAATTTGGAGCAGTAATTGAAAATAGTTGGGTTTTTCCAACGGTGGTCGGCCGACCACCGTTGGAAATCTATACAAAAATACCACTTTTCTTGAAAATGACTTCACACCAGATGCCATAATTGTACAGGATTTTTACACTTTCATTACCAACATCCTAGTAAGGTATTTCGTAAAAGTTTGGTAGTTTTGTTTTTCGATGTTTGCAAATGTTGTATATTCCCTTTAACACAAGTTTTAAAATTGATTGATAGAAGACGAATTTGATCTCTAAATGCTGTCATTCGACTGTAGCTGAGACGAATTCAATCAGTATCGACGAATATTCTTGACAAGTACGGGACTCACTGGCCAGATTTTGAAATCGAATGATAAATTACTTAATTGGTTTCGGTAAAAACATGTCAAATTCTTCTCGGACGAAATTGAATATTACAGCTCGTGAATTTGAAAGGATTGGTTTTTTTTTTTCAATAAACGGTTAAATTGTGTGTTAAGGACTATGAGTGTTAAGCTTCTTCTTTTTCAACAGTATTCTTTTTAATTCAGTATATATATATAGCTTGTTTTCTAGTCATGGAGTTTTAAAGGTAATTGTTTGGCAAGCCTCTATATAGCTGTTTTTTTCATACTTGTAATGGAATTTTAAGGTTGGAGTAATTGTTTGGCAAGCCTCTATATAGCTGTTTTTTTCATATTTGTAATGCAATTTTAAGGTTGGAGTAATTGTTTGGCAAGCCTCTATATAGCTGGTTTTTTTTCATACTTGTAATGGAATTTTAAGGTTGGAGTAATTGTTTGGCAAGCCTCTATATAGCTGTTTTTTTCATACTTGTAATGGAATTTTAAGGTTGGAGTAATTGTTTGGCAAGCCTCTATATAGCTGTTTTTTTCCATACTTGTAATGGAATTTTAAGGTTGGAGTAATTGTTTGGCAAGCCTCTATATAGCTGTTTTTTTCATACTTGTAATGGAATTTTAAGGTTGGAGTAATTGTTTGGCAAGCCTCTATAAAGCTGTTTTTTAATATTTGTAATGCAATTTTAAGGTTGGAGTAATTGTTTGGCAAGCTCATAGCTTTCATTTTCATATGTCAAGGAATTTTAAGGTGTGAGTTATTGTGGCAAGCATATATAGCCTGTTTTTTATGTTTTTCGTGGAATTTTAAGGTTTTAGTAATTCTGTGCCAAGCCTATTGAAAAGTCTATATATATATAGAGCTTTTTTCAAATTTGTTACGGAATTTTAGGGTTCGAGTGTATTGTTTAGAAAGCCAGATCCTGTATATGGTTTCTCATATTTGTTATTGAATTGTATTTTGAGTAATTCTGTAGCAAGCCCCATACATAGCCCTTTTTCTCTAATTTGTCACGGAATTTTTTTTTTTTATCGATGTACTATACATTTGTTCTACTTTTTGTCATTGATTTCTTTTCCATGCTTTCGGTGGTTTAACTAAACCAAGTCACACGTTACATGGGAAAAATATACGATTACTCAGAGTAGTGTTGTAGTGACTGTTGCTAGAATAAATGAATGATACGTTAACTATGTTAACTACAGTCAACCAAAAAAGAAAGTCCCCCCTTCCAATACGTTTTTGTCTAACTCAAAAACTACTGAGCACCTCTCGCTCAAATAACGACTAATCAGTACAGAAATTCCTTAGCAATCCAGCCATACTCTCTATTTGGCCCAAAACAGTGATAATGTGCACGAATTTATATAGACTTTCCAAACTGAATTACTCAAACCTTAAAATTCCATTACAAATACGAAAAAACAAGCTGTAATAATACAGCTTGTTTTTTCGTATTTGTAATGGAATTTTAAGGATTAACCATAACATTTGACACAACACGTTTAAAAATTGATGTGAACCGTGGAAGAATACATTTAATATGATTAAAGGAAAGAAGTGCTTAGAATTACGAAAAATTCCTTTCTACAAGAGGGCGCCCTACACAACCGCTGATCAGCACCGTAAACACTTTTAAACAAAAATACAACACTCTAGGGTTGTTGAGACGATAACTCAAGAACAACATATCACTTTGGATTGAAATTGCGAACATTTATTACCATAAGATTTGTCACAACCCGTTTGAAAATTGACGTGAACCGTGGAAGAATACATTTAATATGATTTAAAGAAAATAGGCCAAATCTTTGAAATCTTTGAAATCATGGCAGTCGCAATATTGTATGATACTCTCTTTGCATCCATATTCATTTCTGCGTCGTTTGGAAAAAAAGTCATTTTTTGGGCCAAATTTGATGAAAAATGTAAGACTAACCCCTTGCAATTTTTTTCAATTTTGGTCAAAAAATGAAATTGCGCCAAACTTCCAAGAAAGATGCCCAAGGAACCCTAGAAGACATTCCAACTCGATATCTAGACAGATGTGCCCTTAGACAGGAACAATGCGTCGAAAACTTGAGTCAAAATCAGTGGAAAATATGATTTTTTTTCTCAATAAATCGAAAATTTGTAACCAAATCTTTGAAATAATGGCAGTCTGAATACGGTATGATACTCTCCTTGCATGAAAAGTCATTTCTGCGTCGTTTGGAGAAAAGTCATTTTTTGGCCAAATTTGATGAAAAATGTAAGGCTAACCTCTTGCATTTTTTTTCAATTTTGGCCAAAAAATGAAATTGCGCCAAACTTCCAGGAAAGATGCCCAAGGAACCCTAGAAGACATTCCAACTCGATTTCTGGACAGATGTGCCCTTAGACAGGAACAATGCATCGAAAATTTGAGTCAAAATCAGTGAAAAATATGATTTTTTTTTTTCTCAATAACTCGATTGTTTGTGACCAAATCTTTGAAATTATGACAGTCTGAATATTGTATGATGCTCTCCTTGCAACAAAAGTCATTTCTGCGTCGTTTGGAGAAAAGTCAATTTTTGGCCAAATTTGATGAAAAATGTATGGCTAACCTTTTGCAATTTTTTTCAATTTTGGCCAAAAAATGAAATTGCGCCAAACTTCCAGGAAAAATCCCCAAGGAACCCTAGAAGACATTCCAACTCGATTTCTGGACAGATATGCCG